GCGAGCACTTCCGGGCTCGAGGCTCGGGGCATTTCCTTGTTTGTCCGGTTGTCCCGACCGCACGTTGGTCGGGACGCGGGACAAACAAGGAAATATCGGGACGGTCCCGATAAAATCGGGACGTCTGGTCACCCTACCAAGGATTACCTCAGTTTTCTGTGTTAGGTTTTCTGTTGTTTAAGTGGGAGTTTCTTTTTCAGATGGCAAGCTATCTGAGTAAAGCAAACAGGGTGTTTTCTTCCTTTTTCAAGGCCTTCCTTCCCCCTTTCAATAAAAGCAACTCAAATCTTCATTTGCGTTGCATATACAATGAGCCCAACAGCCCTGATTGTAAAGAATAGGAACTCCATTTCAATGAGTGCAGGGCTACATTTGGCCCAATGGATTTTGCCCTTTATGCTTGGGTATGGAAGGGTAACTGATCTGTCTTAAACAGCACTTTTCAGTTATCAAACTTGCTTTATTTCTCTACTAAGCTGCTTTTGCATTCTTCTCACTCCCTTTCTGACTTTCCTTCACCCACTTACCTGCTCCCCTGGCTCTTTACAGCATAATATAACCTCCTAGCCCTGTTTCCACCAAACTGAAATTTACAGCTGTGCTGCCTCTGCTGATTTTCTAGACAAAAAAAAGAGTGCTGTTGTTTTGTTTTTGTTTTTTCTTCTCATCTTGCAGGAAAGCAATCTCCAGATCAGGCCTCCAGCATCTGGCTCCTGTGCACTCCCTCAGCATCGCAATCTCCAATGGGCCAGGGAAGGAGCCAAGAACAACACTAGAATGGAGTGTAGGTGTTTATTTTTAATCATGGCAATTTATCTAAATAACATCTCCTGCCCATGTTCCCTCTAACCTTCATTTTTTACATGGCTAGGTAAAGGTGCATGTAACAGGGTTGGATGTTAGCTCTGATCACTCTGAGCTTGATCCTGTAAGGGGCAGAGAACTCTGACATCGATCCAGCAAAGCACTTAAGCACATGAAAAGTCCCAGCAGAGTCTATGGGACTGGATATGTTGAAAGTTTAGCACCAGTACAGCAAAATTACATGCCTGAGTGCTCAGCATCTTGCAGGATCAAGCCCTAAGGTGACAAGTATAGGTGTGTTAGAGAGATTTTATTTCCTTTTGAAGTTGTTTTGTGATTTAGGCCAAGACAATCTTTATTTAAAGACTGGATGTCTTTCTAAGTGATATGCTCTGCTTCAGCTACTGTTGTTTGGCTTGAAGCAGGTATCACTAGCTGAATTTTTTTTCTAGCCTGTGTAATACGGGAGGTCAGACTAGATGACTGCAAGGGTCCCATCTAACCTTAAAATCTATGAATGTATAATAGAGTGCAGAGAAGAGTGTTAAAAAAGTTCAATCCTCTCCGTTTCAGAGATCCTGTGTGGATCCCAAAGGGATTGGCCTTACAAAACCTAAATCCTGCTCCAGAGGAAACTTGGTCTCTGATTCAGCAAGATATTTAAACACGTCTGTCTTTAAGCACGAGAGTTTCCCATTGAAGTCAGTGGCACTGCTCATGTGCTTCAAGTTAGGCAAAAACTCAATTAAATACCTTGCTAAATCATAGCCTAATACAACTACTTGCCCTTTTCAAAAATGGCACTCTACAATGTATACCCTCCCAAGTGGTTTCTTATATAACCTATATAGAAGTGCGCTGCCCATCTGCCATGGGGAACTCATACAGCCCAAGGGATACGATATGTACAGTAAATTCTTTGACAGAGTATTTGGATTAATTTGTATTAGGGTTGGAAAGGACATGTTGATATTTAATCTATTTCTCTATAACACTGCAAGATAATATTAATAGATTCCTACAGCATCCCTGTTGGTTCTGTCTTGACGTTCCTTTAGAACTTCTAGTGTAGGTGATTCATTGACCTTGTGTGGCAGGTTATTCCAGTATCCTACTGACATCATGCCCAAAAAGTGCAGCCTAAATTTGTAGCATAAATGTTTCCTTCCTTAATGCCTCCACAATGATGGCTGAAAATAATTCCCTGATCACACCCTTCATTTTTTGTTATCTCCTTGCTAGTTATTTGTCAGTGTCACATATGGAAGGCAGGGTGGCCTGATGGATAGAGCACTTGACTAGGTCTCAAGAAACTCGAGTTCTATCCTTAGCTTTGCCAGTGGCCTATTGGGTGACTTTAGGCAATTTGCTTCTCCTCTGTGTGCCTCAATTTCTCCATTTGTACATAATAATGCTGACCTTTGAGATCTGCCGATGACCAGAGCGAGGTATTGCTCCTGAGATTTTCTTTTCTTCCCCACAGATGTATAAATTCATAGCTTAATCTCACTTTCGTTAGTCACATTTTCTAAACTTTTAATAACTTGCTATCCTTTGGCTTCTCTCTAACTTAGTGATCTCTTTTTGCAGCACTGCTGTAACCTGTATACCCCCTGAGAAGCTGCTTTTATAGCCATAGGGCAATATGGAGTAAGCCCTTCCCTAAAGATGTGTGGTGTGTATTCTTCCAGTAGGGCAGCGTTTCTCAAACTGGGGTCTGTGGCCCCTTGGGGGCCCCCGAGGGTACTCAAGGGGGTCCACCTTCCCCGCGGATCAACTCCTCCCCCTCTCTCCCTCCCTCAACAGCTGTTCAGCGGCATGCAGGAGACGTTGGGAGGGAGGGAGAGGAGCGGGGATGGGACGCGCTCAGGGGAGGGGGCAGAATCATGTCGGGGCCACTGGCCCCACTGATCAACTCCTCATCCTCTCTCCCAGTGCCTCCTGCACACCATGGAACAGCTGTTTCCCGGCATGCAGGAGGCGCTGGGAGGAAGGGGGAGGAGCGGAGATGGGGCGTGTTCAGAGGAGGGGGCGAAAAGAGGTGGGGAAGAGGAGGGGCAGGGGTAGAGTGGGGGTGGGGCATGGGGCTGAGCAGGGGCTTGAGGGTATGCAAAAAATTGAAATCAAAATGGGGGTCCTTGGGTTACTAAAGTTTGAGAACCACTGCTCTAGGTTGTATGTGACTCCTGCTTCCGATCAGCAGATGATACCAGCCTCCATTGTCCACTTATTAGATTTTCAAATGAGCACCTCTGTGCATTCTCCCATGCTGCCCCACACGCTTGGGAGGAGTTCTCTGTAAACATCCACAAAATGAATTCAGTATGCTCCTTCAACACCTTCCTTAAAGCTTCCCTTTTCTATGATGCCTACAAAAAAATTGACAACAGTTCGGCTGGTGATGTGCTGATATGACTGGCTATCATGTTGGCCAACGTTGTTTCTTTGTACTCCCCTGTCTGTTTGTTTATCCATCTGTTGTCTCTTGTCTATACTTAGATTATAAATTCTTTGGGGGCAGTGACTGTATTTTTGTCCTACTCCATGGGTCCTACTCCATGAGTAGGGCTCCTAGGCACTGTGGTAATACAATAAATAATAATAATATTCAGTGTATGGATCTATGATGTATGTTCTTTGAAGGAACACTTGTTTGGCCTTTGATTGTATGATAAACATCCTTTAAAGGGGCAGTTGGAAGGACTTATGAATATATAGGGCCCACTTTTGTATCCTTTGAAGTAGCAAAATTTAGGATTGGACCCCGGTTTGTACATTCTGTGAATGGACAATTTACATAGACCTATGGAGTATGTTGAGTGTTCTTTAGAGGGAAACTATTATAACTCTATAGCCATGTTATACAGTCTTGTGGAAGTTAATAGGAATGAAACATGTAGGATTCTATAGAAATAGGTTTCTATTGAAATTATTCTAAAAACCAATGTAATATAATAGAAGATGGTATCATTTCATAGGCTTCTGTTTTTAACCGCCCATACAGGATTGTTTGGTAAGACTATAAAATTTCAGTGAGAGTTTTAGATGTTTAAAAAAGTATAAAAAGGTTATTCTTCCCATTCAGTTATATAGGACTTTTTCATAAGGGTGCCCATATTGCCCATTGGATGTATTTACACCTATACATGTGAATCTGTATGCTTTCATCATACTCTGCCTCTTTTTGGTATGTGGTTCTAGCCAGAGCTATTGGCCCCTTACCTTAAAGAACAATGGATTGAAGTATGTGTGTGTATTTGTATATATTGATATTCTACATTTATATATACACATAAAATGTAGTGTATCAACTCTAATCCCACTTGTATTGACTTGTCACAACAACATTAATCCAGATGAATGCTTTTCTTTTCCATGTCTATGGTCTCCCTTGTAAATCATCATTTCATATACTCCGTTAATTTGTACACTGAATGATGTCTCTTCCTATTAATATTTCTGCAAAACTAAGTCTTGTAGTTGGGAACCAAGTATGCAGATAGGAAGAGACATACATCATCAGAGGCTCACTAATAGGGGGAATCCTTGCATGTGGCTATGCCACTACCTCTTTTGAAAAGTGTAGTGTGGTTTAGCTAGCCGCTTCTTTAGCTCTCACCTCAGGAAGTAGTAGTGAATCCAGTCTTCCCATATAGTTAAAAATCACTGGAATTGTGTATAGCCTGTATTTGAAGACATTTTTTAGGATGAGCAATTATTTTTTGCTGTTTCTCTTTCAGCATTTTAGACTTGATTCTGATCAACAAGGCAGAATTGGTTGCAAATCAGAAGGGGTCACTATTTGGGTGAAAGTGATAATGAAATGATAGATTTGATGATTCTAAGGAAAAGAAGGAATGAGAGCAGTAGAATAAGGACCAAGGACTTAAAAAAAGCAGATGTTAATAAACTCAGAGATCTGGTAGGTAGGGTCCCATGGGAAGAAAATCTAAGGGATAAAGGAGTTCAGGAGAGCTAGCATTTCTCAAGGAGACAATATAAAAGCCTCAGTTGAGGAAGCTACTCTTCCCAATAGGAAGAATAGTAAGAGGCCAATGTGGCTCCATTAGGAGCTGTTTAATGACCTGAAAATCAAAAAGGTATCCTACAAAAAATGGACACATAGATGAATTGCTAAGGAGGAGTACAAAAGAATAACACAAGCATGAAGGGACAAAACCAGAAAGGCTAAGACACAAAATGAGTCAAATCTAGCAAGGGACATAAAAGGCAATAAGAGGAGGTTCTGTAAATACATTAGGTGCAAGAGAAAGATGAAGGAAAGTGAAGGTCCTCTACTTAGCTGGGAAGGAGAGCCAATGACTGATGAAATCAAGAAGGCTGAAGTGTTTAATGCCTATTTTGCTTCAGTCAGAATAGGGAAAGTACAGGTTAAAGATATTTAGATAAGTTAGATGTATTCAAGTCAGCAGGGCCTGATGAAATTCATTCTAGGGTACTTAAGGAACTAGCTGAAGCAATCTTGGAATCATTAGCAATTATCTTCAAGAATTTGTGAAGGATGGGTGAGGTCCCAGAACACTGGAGAAAGGTAAACATAGTACCTATTTTTAAAAAGGGGAACAAAGAGGACCCAGGGAATTATATACCAATTAGACTAACTTTGATACCTGGAAAAATACTGGAAAAAATTATTAAATAATCAATTTGTAAGCACAAAGAGGATAATATAGTTATAAGGAATAGCCGGCATGGAGTTGTCAAGAACAAATCATGCCAAACCAACCTAATTTCCTTCTTGGACAGTGTTACTGGCCTAGTGGCTCGGGGTGGGGGGAAGCAGTTGATGTGCTATACCTTGATTGTAGTAAGGCTTTTGACACCATCACACATGATCATTCTCATAAGCAAACTAGTGAAATCTGGTCTAGATGAAATTACTATAAGGTGGGTGCATAACTGGTTGAAAGACCATACTAATAGTTATCAATGGTTTGCTGTCAAGCTGGGAGCGTGTGT